TAAAGATTTTCGGATGCATGCTCTACATAGGTCTATCCCGAACATTGTGCTCAGACCACAGGCGGACAAAAACGCCTCGTCTCTTAGCCATTCATGCTTGGGTACCCAATTCTTGGGTACACTTATTAACTCGCCGGTTGAGAGGGGAGTGGTTGTAAGCTCAAAGAACCCCGGCTCTATTATTTTCTCATAATCCTCATCCGGAACCTTTGGGAAAGCACACTTCTGACCCAATAGATCCGGCTTCTTATTGTAACAACGATACTCGAAGTTATCTCGCCGTTTGGGGGCAGAAACCAGGTAAAACCTGTTATTCCAATTAGACCACTTAGACGACTTGTCTAAGGTCATCAGATAATTAGGGTAAGTGATTAATGTGTACCACGCCCGCCATCCGCCTGGGCTACGGCTAAAGTAGCGCATATCGGCAAAACCCTCCCAACCGAGATAGAGGCCCTGCATCTCACAAGCGGCAATGTAGCCTAGAATGTTGACCCAAGAATTTGGGGTCAATTGCCACACACCCAAGCCATATCCTCGAAGGATAGCCTTTATTGCATCATGGAGGGGGAAATGGAGACCGGCTTGGAAGGCCGTCTCGTAGCAGCCGAAGTAATTGTTGGAATTCGGCTGGTCATCCTTGTAGGCAATGGTGCCTAGTTCAGGCGGCACCCGGATGTCAAAGCCATCACCAAGGGGACGTTTTAATTTGAAGTCCTCCAAGCCTTTTTCCATGTTCCACCTGTCTTTGGCAGGCACATGGATCTGGAACGGATCCCCCTTATGGTTCCACTTTTTTCTCTCTTCTGCCTCACTATCCTCAACCGGTGATAGTGAGCCACTGCCACTATTCTCAGTGCCAGACCTAGAGGTGGTCTCTCCACCGTCTCTCTCTGATCTGGATACAGAGCCGGTCTCTTCCCCGTCTCTCTTTTCGGGCTCAGCTTCATCATCTCCCTCAAAACCAGATACAGAGAAAGCTTCTTCACAGTATCCCTGTTCTGATTCAAGGATCCTATCGCTATGAGTGTTGGGTGCATCCGGAGAAGATCCTCCCTCCTCTTCAACTGGTGCCCCTACCTCAGCCGTCTCTTCCTCAGGCAGCACACCGTCTATACCTTCCTCTCTATACTCTGGATCAGGTGCCGTCTGCATTGTCCGAGCCATAGTGTCTTGCACAAACACATAGACGGGTCAGATTTGGGGAAGAACAACGGTGGTTTAAACACCCAGAGACGCCACCCCCAGTCCTAGACTCAGCCATACCAGGAGACCGACTAACTACTGACCTAGGTTGTGCCGTGTATGCTGATGGTGAATCCATTTATATGATATGTACACAAGCAGAAAAAATGTGAAACAACTGAGAGGGGGAGAAACGGTACCTTGAAGATTTGTTTCCGGAAAAGGGTGTCAAGCACTGACCGGCTGTAATAGGCGGGCAGAAATCAAGCAACTGTTTGTGAGATACACAGGCGGTTGTCGGATTCTCTCTCTCTCTCTCTCTCTCCAGAACGTTTGACTTTCTCTCTAGACTTTTTTTTTTTTGAAAATGTCAAAAATGAGGGGGGTAAAATTCTATCTATAGAGGGGTAAATTCATGGGCATCCCTGTAATTTTGGCCAGAAGGTGAACAATAAAAAACTGTTCACAAATGCCTAAGTGACAAGTGTCACAAGTGCCACGTGGCACGCCACGTAACACCTGTGAGGGGCAAATGATTTGGTAAAAATACCCAGGCCGCGTGGCCCAATTAGAAGGTGACACGTGTCACCCTAGGAGAGGTTCAAAGTGAACCAATCCTCAACTGACACGTGGCACTCCCAATTGGTATGGAAAAAGACGGCCTTTATAGCCCAATTTCCAAGAAAAAGCCGCAAAACGGCGCAGCCCCCCAAATATAGGTTGGAATGACCTAGGTGGGGGCACATTTACCAATGAACTTATAATTAGGGGGATTTATCCCACTTTGGGGTCACGTTCAGTTATTACCACACCATCAATTCTCTCACATCAAAGAAAACACCTGATCTTGGAATCCGAGAAGATCTAGATTTACTTTTTCCGCACCTTTTTACTTTCTCCGTACACGTTCTAACTTGATTGTCGGAGGCGAAACTCTACCTAACCGGAGTCTCCGTTGTTTTGCAGGTACAGGTGGCGGGAAATCAATCTTGGTGGCGTAACTCTCCCGAAGGACAAAAACCCCAAAACACTTGACATTCCAGTTTTTCGCCAAGTGTTGAGCCACGTAGGCGATAAATAGGTATTATTGTGACACATAGGATTCTAAGTAGGCGAATTTAGGATAGATTTTTTTAAAATAAAAATGTTGTATAGTGTTTTATTATTGATATACTTCTAATATTTCATATATACAAAATTAATTATAACTTTTAATAAACATCTTATAACTCATTACTATTTCCATCTTAAAATCCGTTTTAAAGTTCTTTAAAATGAGATCCATTTATAATATATTGTAATAAAAACTAGAAAATCAGTTAAAATAAGTTTTAATCAGAAAAAAATAATTTTAGTTTGGTAAAAATATTTTCAGTTCATTAGGAATAATTTAAGTGCAATAAAAAATATCAAGTTAATATAACATAGATATGTATTTACAGATAACTACAGAAAGTACACTATTATATAAATAAGCGATATGATATCGTATGTCTAAATATTTTACATAATAACATGAAGTTTAGAACAATCCGGGCATCGCCCGGGCACAAAACTAGTCACTAATATATAAAGTCGGTCTCGCAACCAGGTCACGAGACAGTGACACTTGACATATTAGTTTTTCGCCAAGTGTCGCACCACGTAGACGACAAATAGGTTTTATTGTGACACATGCGATGCTAAGTAAGCGATTTTTGGATAGATTTTTTAAGATAAAAATGTTGTATAGAGTTTTATCATCACTATATTTCTAATATTTCATATACACAAAATTAATCATAAATTTTTATAAATATCCTATAATACGGTTTTATTTCCATCATAAAATTCGTTTCAAAAAGTTCTTTAAAATAAGACCCATTTATAATATATTTAATTTAGTTAACTAAATAATTGAGAATCTGTAAAAATAAGTTTTAATCAGTAAAAATTTTGGTTTGGTAAAAATACTTTCAATGTAGTAAAAATAATTTAAGTTCAATAACAATATTTTCAAATCAATAATAACATAGCTAGATATCTATTTACAAACAAAACTACAAAAAGTGCATTATTCTATAAATAAGCGATAGGATGTCGTATGTCTAAATATCCTGCATTAGCTAAAGGGATTACATGACCGTATTAATGGACGTTCAAGCCAAACAGTTTATCCTAATTAAAATTTTATAAACAATCCAGGCATCGGCCTTGCACAAAATTAGTATATATATAAAGGGGAGTTTTAAGAGAGCCGCGTAGGATTTAATTTTCTTAGCGCGCCACGTAGGTAGGGATGTCAATGGGTCGGGTCTGGGTCCAGTCCACTAAGACCCAGACCCGAACTTTTGGAGGTGGACCCAGATCCGATCTAGACCAAATCAGACTGAGACCCAAAACCATCGGGTCTAAAACAAGTCCAACTATAATTTTTTATAATTTGTTATAATCTTTTATATATATTATAAAACTATAACTATACTATTACTTGAAAAAATTAAAGCGTATTAAAAAAACTTGTTCATCTTTTTAACACATAAATAATTTGTTCATTAAAAAGTAAAGACAATGCATGAAAAAAAATCTTAAAAACTAAGTTTCTTGGTTGCTTGTTGTTTTGCTGACTTTCTCTAAAGTCTATCTTCTTAACCTCTAACTACGCATTATATTATTACTCTAGTATATTTGATTAAGGGTTTTTTTTTAATAATATTATATATGATATATATTTATTATTTATAAAAAAATAAAATAAAATAATAAAAAAAAAAAAGCGGATCTATGAGTCGGATCTGGGTCTACACTTTTTGGACCCAGACCCGTCGGGTCTAAATTTAAGGACCCAGACCCTAAAATATGGGTCGAGTCCAATCGGGTCTGGGTCGGGTCCGAGACCCATTGCCATCCCTACATATAGGATTATAAATTTTAGTTGTAACCAGTTAAATAAGAGATTTGTAATTTCTTTTAGAATTAAATAATTCAAATGACAGCAAAATTGGTGAATGAGATTTTTAAGTTTAAATTAATTAAATATATAATATTATCTTTTAATATTAAAAATTTTATTTAAATATACAACTTTTAGCAAAAAAAATAAAAAAAAAATACTGTTTTAAAAAATTCAAACAAATCGTGCATCGCACAGGCTTCATCTAGTTTTCTCTATTAAAATATTAACAAGATTATATAGTTCATGTGATCTACATGGCTGAAATTACATTATGGATGTATATTAGAAAATAATAAGTCTAATTTAGTATATGGTGAATCGATAATCTTGTTGCCAAAAAGAGATGAATTGATATTAATATAATGATTGAATAATGAAAAACAATTCAACAATAAACAAGTTTTACATGAACAACCTACAGATGTGAAATAAATAACATTTACATTTTAATATGAATACTCTGTAAATTCATGAACTTATAAAAACCCTAGCCAAAAGCCTGATGCAACAATTGACACTTTGTAAATATTTTTTTTGACCATTTTCCCCGGCCTTTTATAGTATACCGTGGTTGATACAAAGACCATAAACATTGACATGACATGAAGCACATATTTAGGGGTCGTTTGGTTCTCATACTTGGACGGTATGATATCTATATCCTACATCAATCTAAAATTGTTTAGTTTAATCATGGAATAGATTTTCATACTTGAATAGTAGTATTGATTATAAATCCTTGGGGGGAAGATGGGTATGAGATTCCAAGAGAATGGAGTGGAGTTAGAATCCCCCACATAAGAGATTCCATACTTAAATAGTCCAACAAAACAAATAAAACCATGAAATGGATTTAACCCATTCCAACTATTCCAAGAACTTCAACCAAACAACCCCTAATGTACATGTATTAAATATACAAATTGAAAGGAAGTTTTAAACATCATCATCCACACAATTGTTGGATATCTAATAAAGCACTAGAAATAGGATTAAAAAAATGATAGACCAATTGGCCAATTTAATAAATCTATGAAAATATACATCAATGGTTTAATATGATGGAGCTTCAGCTCCTTTTTACTGAAAGGTCTAAAACAGCAATTCAACAAACAAAATTGAGAGTAAGTTACAAAGAGGTTAGCTCAATAATGTACATCTTGTCTTCAACTGTAATTATCTGAACTGCATGCGAGTTGTATAAGGGGGTTATCAAAATGCTTGACTGCAGAAGATGAAGGCTTGAACAAGGCTTTGAGCGGTGTGCAGTTGACTTGGAGTTCCTGATATAACGACTCGACCCTCAGTAGCACCAGGATTAGGATCATGAACAATTACATCTGCTCCAGAAAACTAAATTCAAGAAACCAGAGTTTGTATCAGAAACCAAAATCAGAATATATACCTTAGATAATACTGCAAAGACAAACTCTTGACATGGCTCAATGTCAGGAATTTTTAAACAGCAGTACTGCTAAGTGCAAACAACTACTTGTACATACATTTACTGTTCTAAACCCACCTGTGTTATATGTCCAATATTAGTTTTGTTTTCTCCATAAACATGAGGTAGCAATATCTGTGGAACTACAATTTCTACAGATGTCACCATCGGCATCTGACCACTGCACCATGGAGAAAAAAAAAATAAGCTCGATAATCTAGAGCGGAGAACAAGATATCATAAGCCATACATTCTTTCAGCCTCACCTTTCATTATTTTTTGCAACCATACTTGAAGACCCAGCGACTGTGTCAGAATATCTGCTAGGATTCCCATAGTCAGCAGCCTGGACAACGCATATTATGCAATATTCAGTGATCATTTGCAAAACATATTGAAAATCACCAAAAAAGCAACAGGTTATTCCGTTATTACCTGGGGATGCCACACTTTAGGTGAAGCTGGCTTCTCAAATGACAGGCCATAAGAAGCTCTATCACTACCATACTGATGGTGGTCATGTTCGCCACTAGGTCCATCAACTCTATCCATTTCATGTGGAAATGATGAATGAGCTTGCCCTTGGCCAGCAGAACGATTGTCATATGCATGAGGTAATCCAACTGGTGAATGATAATGACCAGGAGAAGCCTGATCATGTCTAGGGCGAAATGAAGGAGATGGTAATTCCTGATAGGTAGTGAAGTAAGGCGAGCTACTAACATGAGAAAGGTGCTGCTTCGGGGGAAACAAAACATCCCGAAGCCTACTAGTAATCTGAAATAAAGCATCCTGAACTGACTGCAAACTTCCAATAACCTGTTAAGTAGGTAGAATGACCAGTATCTTAGTAAAGCTCTTCAATGAGTACCAAAAAAAAAGAGACCAGCAGCAAGTTTGCGCAAGAAAACCTTAACCATGAGGTAAGAGGACATTGGCAGACAAAGTACAGCTCAACTGAGGAGACCTTTTGGTGCTACCACATGAATATAAATGAGGAAAATTTCACCCCAAGCTACAAAACTATAAGAATGTTCCACTTCCGAGTTCACCGAAATATTACCTGCACAACTTCATCATTTTGGATATTAGGATTCACGCCTTGTTCCCTGCCAAAAATTCGAATACTAGCACCAGTAAGTCGTCTCATTTCAGCAATAATTAGGCCTCCTTTACCCAACAAACAACCTATTTGTTGTGAATGGACAAGAAGCCGGGCAATAACTGCAGCACCTGGTTCAAATCCGACCTCTGCTATTCGGCTGTGCACACGGATGACAGCATCCTGAGCAGCAGAGTGTTTCAGGTCCATACTCTGTAACAGTTTGAAAAGGAAATTGAAAATGCAAATGAGTAATCACTGGGATATTAACCTTCTATACAACTTATATAACTATAAAATTGATTTTGATGCTGACAATGACACTGATCACAGACAAAGAAATTAGTTCATCTAACGGTAATACCTAGCTGACTAGCTCTGCTCCTTCAACATGATTCAAAAGCACTATTTCCTGATAAATTGAAACATTCAGATTTTTATTTTGACACCAAATATTCAAGCACAGAAAGAACCTATATCAAATAACAAAAGACTTGAAGCATGCACGATCAAGGGTTTTTTTCTTTTTTTAAATGAGTGTAATTACAAGTTGTAAAAAGGGAAAAACAAGATGTTTCACATAAATCACGTCTTAACACAATATATTAACAAAACTCAACAAGTTGTGCACAATAATAAATTTATCTTTACATGCCTCTCGTGCTGATACGAATACAACCCGTTCATCTGAATCAGGAGAAACAGTATCTCCTATCTTGATTGATGCCCCAGTTTCATTTTGAATTGCCCGTACAATGGACCCACCCTTTCCTATCAAACTGCCAATTTTACTTGCTTGGCATAGCAATCTGAAAACAACATCATCTTCTGGAGCTATCCTATGGCTATGATCAGCAGCATGTGCACCTCTTTGAGGAAAAGAATCTGTCTGACTAGCAAGATTTGGTCCTTGAAACATATCAGCTTTGGGATGCTCCTGAAGACAACTTGAAACAGACAAGAGAGCTTTCTTTACAGCTTGAAAATTTCCTGCCATCTAAATTTCAGACAACGTATAAATATGAATGTTGAATTGATATAATGAAGAGATAGATGGAACAATTTTACAATCAAAACAGAACTATGAAAAATGATGAACAAGATGTCAGTTAGCAAAAGTGACAAGTTTCAGGCTTATTGTCATGTGTCATCCAATGCACTTCTTGATCTTAAGAAATATTCCGTTAAAGCGACAAAAAGAGACATTGATCAAAAGAGATCATAGCTTCCTCTTCACAATAAGACCCAATAAAAATTAATCTGATAAATACAATATATACATTAGTGTGGAAATACATTTACGCCTATAGAGTGATCCACTTACCTAATACACAGTAAAGAGCAAGACATGAGACACAATCAATATAATTGGTAACGAAGTGCATTTCTCCAAAGTCAGTTCAAGCTATACCACAGACTAATGAAAACCTCTATGAGTTTATGAACCTCTTATCTCAAATTTGACAAATCAACATCCCAATATAAAACAGAGTAACAGACAATAAGGCAGTAGTCTATTAAAGGCATGAAGCGTTCCTCGGCCATGACAACTCTGTATCATCATCAACCTCTAAAGTCCAAAAATCAATCATTGAGTAAATTCCTAATTTGTAACAGCGGTAGAAGCAGTAGTAATATTCTAATAGGAAAGGGGATAAGGTATAGGTAAAATGGTGTGACAAAGACTTAGAAGGATCATGTCCAAGATAAGCATATCGGGGGAAAGCTTATCCTTACCTCCCATGTCATTTTTATCCTTTCTTATACTGTTAAAAATGTCATGCTCCCAAAGTTAATCCTGTCATTTTCCTTACAAGGCATTAGGGTGCCTTTTCTTTATACATCCAAAAATCCAACTCATATCTTGAGTCCTACTTTCAACAGGGGTCACTTTTTTCTCATCTTGGAGAATTCCAATTGAAAATTCAGTCCAAGGTGACCACAAAATCATTCAAGCATACTCATCTCAGTAATTTCTAAACCAAAAATTGTAACTTTTAGATTCCTTCAATTCCTAGCAGATAAAACTTATCCCATGCTCTATCAGAATTAGCAATTTTCCAGAATAGATTAACCAGTTTTTCCTGCAGTTATTCCCCCTAGTTCCCTAGCATCTTCCCACCTCCTAAACTTTAAGCAACACTTACACCCTCACATTCAACAAATATTTGCAGCAAAGCCTCATACCCCACTTCTCATTGGGCATGACATGCATCTACTAAAGTGGGAAACACTGTCAAATGTGTGAAACAGTGAAAGTTGGAACGAGTATAATCCCACAACTCCCACATATAATAGAACAGACTGAAGGTTACAGTCATCCGTCAACACTCAAACATGATGATCTCAATTATGACATGCCTTCCATCCTAAAGCACACCCTGGATAACTTTATCAGCAAATTTCAAAACTCCACACCATTCACACGAAAACCCAAAACCTACTCCATAGAGATATGCAAGTCCTAAAAACAAGTAAAGTAAGTTTGGTCAAATTAGTTATTTTTACATTGAACTTACACAAAATCACCAAACAAATAAGATAAAGCTATCAATCATCAATGTCATGACAAATTAATAATCGCTTAACAATACTATCTAAAGGATGGATTCAAGATACTCAACATTAAAATTTGATTTTGGAAAAAAACTGTCACCGGGAAATGTACACATGCTAAATAATTAATTACTGTATGTCAATCCATTCAGTCAATCAATCTCATAAGTGGGGTCGGCTAAAGTGATTATTCCGTAGTCAATTCATTGTGATACAATAATCTACAAGTGAATATATGCAGACAAGATATACATCCCATTTAGGATGCCTAAGCTTAAAATCCATGAGAGCCTCGGTTGAAGCTCGTTCATGTTAGTTTATTTGATAAATGAGCCGAGCTTGAACAAATAGCTCGTTTAATAAATGATTTGAACACGAACATAGATATGCTCGTTCAGATAAGTTTATGAACAACTCGTTTATTTATGTTTGCGAACTACTCGTTTATTTATATTCATGAATTATTGATTTATTCACAATTGTTAATTTGATTCTTAAGTTTTTAATAATTAAGATTTAATTCTTGTTTATGATTAGGATTTAATTATTCTGCTAATGTTGAGATTTTCAAATGACAAAAGTACAAAGCTTGTTTATTAGAGAAGCTCGTCTATTACTAAGTTCGTTCATGAAACTTACGTTTAATAAACGAGCCATTCACGAACCGTTCGCGAACATAAAGTGTACTAAATGAGCCGAGCTTGAACAGATTTTTGAGCTCCTTTGAAAGCTCGGGATTGTGCTCGAACTCGCCTAAGTTGAACGTGAACATGGTATTACTCGGCTCGGCTCGGATCATTTACACCCCTAAATGAAACCAAGACATTTGTGTATGTACATTTTTTTAAAGGTCAAAATCAGGCAGGTATTCTATCAAATTAATCACATGTTGCCACAAGGAGAATACTATAAGGGGTTTTATTAAGGTATCTAATGTACATTAGCCAATACGAATTATAACATTAATGTCGAATCCACGAGAACAAATGATCAAATCACATAATCAAACTATTCATAGACTACATAACCCAAATGACACCAAAATAAATCATAGATCATCGAATTACGCAATTTAGAAACCGAAAAGGCCGAAAATTAGGGAAATTTCACCTGAATTAATTCCTCCCCAGGAGAAGCACAAGCAGGAAGTTGCTCCCTAGGCAAAACCCTAACTTGAGCACCACTCTCTTGCCTAATCTTCTCCACAATCTTCCCACCTCTTCCAAGAACACACCCAACTTGATTACTCGGCGCCAACAATCTACAAACAATATGCCCAGATTGCCCACCATTCCCACTACTACTCCCACCATTTCCATTCCCATTATTCTCTCTCCTCTCATCCTCCATTTTCTCACTCTCATTCTTCTCACTCCTCTCTTCATCAACCTTCAATATCCTCTCAAACACCTTCACCAACGCCGCCTGCGCAATCGACCCTTCTTCCCTCTCCTCCCCAGAATTAGGGTTAGGGTTTTTCGAATCGGCGATGATGTGAATTACCCTTTCATCGCAGCGCGAAAAGGGGGGAAGATCATCAACGATGCGAATTCGAGCACCGGTATCATCCCTAAGTTGGCGGATTACGGCGCCGCCTTTTCCGATGACACCGCCGACTTTTGCGGAGGGACAGAGGATTCGGAATTGGGTTTCGCCGCCATTTTCGGAGGGTATGAGTTGTTGAGAAGGTGGAGTAGAAGAGGAAGATGATAATGTTGGGTTAGAGAGAGAGTGAGAATGGTGGCGTTTGAGAGAGAATTGAGGTTCCATTGTTGAAGGAGTGAAGTGGAGCAGAATTGACGAACATTGGAAGAGAGAGAAAGTGAAAGGGGGTGTGTGAGTGGGGGTTGACTTTTAAGTCAAAACCTCAGAGGCTCTGGGGTTTACGGCAAGGTTTGGAAATATTTTCTGTTTTCCTTCTAAAAAAAGTATAGCCAACCGTGCTCAAACCTAGAGCCACCGACTAAAAGTCATGTCGTTTCATCGTAGGGCGAGCATGGGCCGGGTATCCGCACCGTTAACACTATCGGTTTGGGTATCCGATAACCAATAACATTAAATATGATATCTATTAACTGAATCGATAAGTTCGGATACCCGAATTTTCGAAATGATTATCGGGTACCCGATATGTTATCCAATAATGAAAATTTAGACTTTATAATCTAGTTATTATGATATCATTCAACACTAATTAACAATAATACCACATGATCATGACCAAATTATTAATATTATTACTAACCATTTAAATTATGAAGTGATTATGAACTAAATAAGAGTTTAGATTTTGTATAAATAGATTTAAGTAGGAAAAAAAATGAAAAAAATTACTTATCGGATCGGATCGGATCGGGTAACTGTTAATTTTAAAATGATACCCAATAACCATACCGGATAACAAATTATCGGATCGGGTACCCAAACCGTTATGACTATCAGAACGGGTACCCTAATTTTCGGTTCGGTTACGATTCGGGTTTTCGGTTTTTCGGATAATTTTGCTCAGCCCTAGTCTCATGTTCGTGTATGGTCTCGTGGATATTTCAAAAAGTATGTAAAATGTAGGATAACTACATAATTTGTCCAACTTATCAAAATGGGTCGTGTTGGGGTTGGTTTTATGTCGTGTCGTGCCAACTTTGTGGTTTTCTTTCAATAATTTCGTGTTTGTGTCGTGCCAGTTTTAATAGTGTTGTGTTATGTTAGAAATTGTCAGCTCTACCCAAGCCTCCTCAGTAAATCACATATTCATAGTAGTAGGAAATACTCTGACTAAAATACAGAGTAGGCAATTTCTTCCAAATTAGGTGTATAATTGTGGTGAGATGCGTTCTTCTATGTACAATTTTACCATTAAATTGCTTAATATTTTGTAAAAATATTAAAATACGAGTAAGTAATTATTGGTAAATACGCTTTAAAGTGAAATCAATACTAGTAAACAAATTACATATGGTTTATATACTAGTTTAAAAAGAAGAGTCAAATTAAGTTTATGAATAATGTTAAACGTTAATATAAAGGGGTCAAATTAGGTAGATGGACAACATCTTGATATAATACTTCGTATAATAGAGAGATGACTAAGTAGGTAAACATATCGTACCCCACATTATTCCACTCCCACTATCACAACCTATGTCTAAATCTTTAAGACGTGAAATGTGTCCATGCCTAATACGAAGTTATGAAGATATATTTGAGGATGGAAGAAGAAAGATATAAAATTACCAACTTGAGTACAAATATATTTTATGGAGAACCTAAGGGAAATTATCTAGGTGACTAGGTTCGGCCTAGCACAAGCACGGTTGCTCGTGCACTAGTGCTATCATGCTTGGTCAGGTGAAGGCGAGCATAGATTATGGTCAAGCACTCGTGCATGATTGCTTAGGACAGAATGCCGGATTACTGAGTTTTGAGTACGCCTTTACCATCACCCAAGCACCCAAACGCATGACTGAGTGTGATTGTGTGAATGAGCATGATATATATTGTTGGGTGTTGTAGATGCCCAAAAAGAATGGATAGGGGAACGGGTAGCCCAACTTTTATGGACTGTAAGGCCCAGTATGTACTACTACAAACTAAGGAATTTAATAACGATCTAAACCCAACCATGATGTTATATTATGCCCTTGTCTGTTGTAATACCCCTTCATTTTCAATTTTTAATACTTCGTAAGTTGTTTAGCTAGGAGCCTAGGACTATTGTCATTATCAGCATCATAACTTTATTTGTCTATTACTCTATGGTGTATTTTTGTAATACCAAATTTTTATAACCAATTACTCTGCAACGCACCAACATTGTGTCAAATACGGGTCTTTATAAGACCAAATGAAGTTTCATCCTAAAACTATATGGCAATACAAGGAGTAGCCCATTAGCTTTATAAAGTGTTTAAGGCTCCCTTCTTTTTTCAATGTGGAAACTTACATGTATTGTTTTGTAAGTTTATAATCCAGCAGCTTCGTGACCTCGGCGGCTGCCGCCTAAAATTTTTCCTCGTCGTGGTTCCTCTTCTTTTCCCTCTTACATAAAGGACATTTTTTCACTCCCTTCACATGGACTCACTCAATCTAGCACATTGTACTCATTACTTAAGCCATTAAAGGTCCTAAACTATGAGTCTAGTTCTGATACCATGTCTAATATGGGTCTGGCAGCATTCGCCACCAAGAGAGAAAGAGTCCATTTCTCAAAACTAAAGGAGCCTAAGGAGGTTCTATCCGAAAACCATATGTCAATAGAAGGAGTAGCCCCTTAGCCTTAAAAATGGTTTAACTCTCTCTTCTTTTCTCAATGTGGGACACTTGTGTTAGTTGTTTGGGAAGAATATATACTTCAACACATTTGCTTGGAAATAGAGCATTCCCTAATCCTTCCCCTCTACTCTCAAGTATTGACTTACAACATAGCTGAGCTGGCTGACTAGTGAGAGGTGCTGGTTTAGTAGGGTCCCCTCTCCTTATCAATAAAAAAAAAAAACTTTATAATACTTAAAATTAATAAGGATAGTTAAAGATAAGGAAATTTTGAAAATAACCACTCCTAAAACCACACTTTGTTGAACTAATAATCTCCCGTTTTTACGAAATTAAAAAAAAAAAAAAAAAAAAAAAAAAAACACCCCAAAACGTAAAAACCATTAGCAATCACCACCCCTTCTCATATTCCCGCCAATCAATATTCCGAGTAAAGGCCCCACCATTGCATACTTCTTCCCTATTGTTTCTTTCTCTTGCTGCATTTAGGTCCATCTTCAAAACCCACCATCAAACTGCCACCTTATTCGAAGCTCCACCACTTATCTGCACCACCACCAACCACAGCAATTCCCATCTTCCCACCTTCCCTCACGCCAACAATATTTGGGAGATTTTTAAGGAGCATAGCAATTTCATATGAAAGGAGGAAAAAAAATCAATGCAAAGCCGTTATGTGGGCCCGTCAGTCGGAATACTGGCTGGAATATAATAATGGGTGATACGGTGATCGCTAATGGTTTTACGTTTAAGGGATTGTTTCCTTTAATCTGTAAACAATGGATAACTAATTCAACAAAGTGTGATTCTAAGGGTGGTTATTTACAAAATTTCCCAAAGATAATACTTGGAAAAATAGTGTTGCAAACATACCTAATTAATGTGTAACATTTTACAAAGTATATATGTTTTTTTAATATTCAGAAGGTGAGAAGGAGAGTGCATAAAATTACAAAATCACATATCAATATAATAATTGATACAATTAAGTAGTGGTGATGTTGTAATAATTTAGTGTTTCCAATTTTAGTACCTTATTTTCTTTTTTCATAATCCTTCCAACAAGTTGGCAAATTGTTTAAACTTGTACAAAGATAGTGATGTCATTCAACCTATTTCCAAATTGCAACTAGGAAGTGCACTTACTATATGATGGTCCAACAAAGCTAGCTAGGAAATTCATTTCAGTAATAAATTGATTCACATCAATCATCTTCACTATTTTGATGTCGACATTTTTTCAACTAGGAATTGTAATTATTATGATGGATTTCATGGAAGAAAAAAAAAAAGAAGAAAGAAAGATGAACATTTAATTAGTGGAGCTGAAATTCCAAAAATAATAACCATGATCAAAACAAATAAGCAGCTAGAATTAGAAATTACCATTTATATTAGTGTTAATAATATATGCTTTAATATTAATGTTTGTGCACAAGTAAATCATGAAACTAAAGTGTTATTTTCTTAGACATTAACCACCATCATTAATCAACATAATATTGCCAAATTCACAGTTTTTCAGCTAACTAAATTTATAATTCGATCAAGGTGTAGTAAAATAAATTTGTCATAGTTAAAACTACTATGGAGTATGACTATTTGTAGTTTATGTGACACATGCATCATCCATTCTACCGAGTAACGATGTACTCCAATTCGTGCAAGCTATCATCTTCGGGACGACGTACTGTACTACTGCATACCATTGAAAATGTAAAGGCTTCATTACGGTACCAGGAATACATAACGATTAACGAACATCGATCATTGTCTTTGTTAAATTATGGAATAGTTGAAGTTGAAAAGATTAAAGCTTCGTATAGAGATGATCATCTTGTGACTGTAAGAGTGCCTCTATGGTGACTTGTCTCGGCTATTTGTGAATCTGCTGCATGAACAGCAGATAAATGGTCATCAATTCAAGTGACTTTGTCAAGTTCTTTTTCTTGTTATTATTTTTAAGAACGTACTACGTATTAAACTTGAAATTATTACTCATTTCTTTCATTCCAAGAAGATCAGCAAAACAATTTGTACTGTTATCGAATGGAAATAATAAGATTTATCCATTATTTGATCTGTGCATCTTGACTTAAAAATTTAATATATGTTACTCTTGTGTGGACTTGTACTGTGGTACAAGGTCTATGATCTAAATTGGGTTGATTTTATGTATGCATGCATTATCAATTTATCATAGTTCTTCTTATCTGTTGGACAATAATGGATCGATTAGTAAGTTGCATTGATTTTCATCATGATTGTCAATGCATAATACTAATATAACTTAAATTATTATTATTTTTTTATATAATCATACACAGTTAATACTACCTCCGTTTATTTTTATGTGCAACTTTGAGTGATAATACGGTTCACGAGGCAAAAGATTGAAGAGTAAATATTAGGAGAAGTTAGTGGGTTTAATTAAAAAGCAAGGAGAGAGAAAGTGTGGACCACACTTTTTGTTTGTGGTGGGAAAGTTTGGCAGAAAAAACCAAAGCATAATTTCCCACCCAAAACCCACCGAAAATTTGGGGTGAAATTTTACTTTCCCCCTCCTTTTTTAAAAATTTCATACCAAAGTCAAATTTTCCCAAAAAATTTAGGAGGCTATAAATACAGCCATGCCCC